CATGTCGCGTTGGAATAAGATTGTTCTATTCCTCCAAAGGGCGACAATGCGACATAGCGACAATTTTCAAGGTCAAAATATGTCGCCCCATCTAAGATGTGTACAAAAGCTTAAAACGCGACGCGACAATGCGACATATTGGATATGTCGCGTTGTACGTTGTCGCCCCTTTCGATTGCCGGAGGGCATGCGTAGGAAGCCAATTACACTACGCATGCGCAGGAAAAGTTATACTCTATTTCACACTTCACTGGTCTTTTGTTACCTCCAATGGTTTTAAACTGAAGTAGTACTTTCGTAATGTTAATGGGGGCTGCTTTTCTTGAACTTAAAGCAAATCTTTCATTGTTGCTTTGAAAATTATTTTATATTTTGTAAATGCATTCAGCCAATCAAGTGTGTTTTAGCAGTCAGACAAATTATTAGCGCTACTATTCATTGTGACGACGGCACACGGTGGCCCTGTCATTCAAGGCCGGGCAATTTGCTGTGCAGAGTTGTGTCTCCTAGTCACACCAGAATAATATGATCATAGGTTCGAATCCCAGCACCATACACATTCATCACTTTGGACATTTCACCGATATCAGGCTGGCAGGTTGTGAAAAAAATGAAATATTGTTAAAATTCAGGCCACATCGGCATAAACATCAGGTGAAGTTAACGGTGTGCCTCGACATGCTCCAAACATCAGGTGAAGTTAACGGTGTGCCTCGACATGCTCCAACGCACACAGTGACTTGATTCGTTCCCTGCGCAACTTCGGCTGCGTTTAACAGTACTTCAGCCAGTTTATTGCATCAGTCGGAATGTTACAATGAATGAATGAATCAATGAATTAAGAGCAAGAATTATATGTGAATGAATGAAAGAAATAAAGAAAAAGAACAAAACAAAGAAATACATATTATGTGAATGAAAGAAAGAATAAATGATACACCACGGCCATCCCTCCCCAAACATGTTAAAGAACGCAAAACTATCGCTGGAACACATGTGTATTTAAAAAAATCTCCTTTGAGACATTTTTTACATTAGTAATGAATTCAGATATCTTATTGCATGTGTGGAATGGCATGGACATTGACAGAATGTTAAGTGACACTGCCACACACCCCTCAAGAACAGAAAGTTTAGAACTATCACAAAGCGTTGTAAACACCTTTCCAGTTTTGTCAAATACTAAGATCAACAAGAAAGAGAAAGCAGTTTTAGAACTATAACACCTCAAGCATCACAAGCATCAATGGCGGTATATGTCATATTTTTCACACACCTCAAATACACCTAACAATTTTTTAAAATTATGAAACTATCACTATTACTTGCAAAACACCTTTCACCTGACAGTATATTCCCCTCATAAAAATTAAAGGTGTATGTGAAAGATGTTTTAGAACAATAACTAGAAACACTCAAACAACGCCCTGTAGTATTTCAATGGCAGATCGGTGATGTCATATTTTCACACACCTCAAATACACCTAACAATGTTTTAGTTATAAAACTATCACTATTACTTGTAAACACCTTTCAACTAAAGGTATATTTCCTTCTAAAAGTTAAACGAATATGTGAAAGAAGTTTTTAGCGATAGAATTTAGTCTTTCTTCGCTGTGTACTGAAGCCGGTGAGCTACAACATGCCGACTTGAAACTTTACTACAAATCTACTGTACTAATACTGACACTAATAACAATTATTTGACTTAAAATGAAGTGACAGAATAGGTAACTTATCTTCTACATGTAGGTTTTCAGTTGTCACAACACTCAGCGAATGTAATCAGCTGTTGAAAATAAACCAAGCTCAATCTTAAAAACTACGCTGTCGCCATATTGGCTACACTGGTCACGTGACGAGCCGAGGCATACGCTAAGGGCTTTTCGAGGAGTGACCACTCCCTGTTATATAGTCTCCCTTGGTACAGACCTGTCCGACGCTGATGAATTTGTCCGACATCTGCCTCTATTCAGCCAGCAGTGGATGGATACCAGGTAGAATGAGATGGTAATATCACTTAACCATCCAGCACCTCAAAGACAGTTTAGGTCGGCTTTGAACATGATATTCTTCTTGGGAAAACGCCATACATGGACTGTTGTTATCATTATGATATTAAAACGATGAAATCCTTGCGATCTTTGGAGTGCCAGAAACCCTCCCTACCTCCCTCATTTCCTCCCCTCCCCCTTCCCTCACCCACTCCTCTCCACTCAATTCCGCTCCCATACACACTCACTCACGGTTTAGGTAGCTTGGTAAATTAGCAAGGTATTTCAGTACAATAATGTGTTGTGATGTTTGTTTTCAATTCTATTTGAATCCTGTAATTAATCCCTGGACATGCCATGATTCACAATATAGCGATAATGATACTATACCCAGCGATACATGTACTCGTATGGTTTCAAATATACACCTACTCAATCATAATAATTTTTCAGCAAATTGGCCAGTTTGAATACATCCATTCCATTAACCAACGACTCTTTACCCAAAGACTTCACGGCCATATGTACGTTCATTTATTATTGTTCTGAGTTCAATCCCTGGGTATCTCAGCCCTTTTAAACCATCGAAAAATAATCATGCTTGTGATAATTTTTAACTTCCGCCGTAACTAATAAAACGCGACACGCGATTGCAACAACGCGACATTTGAAGAAATGTCGCGTTGTCTATTGTCGCGTGTCGCGCGTCGCGTTTTAGTCAATTTTAGGCTCTTTTACACATCTTAGATAGGGCGACTATTGTCGCTATATCGCATTGTGCCCCTTTGGAGGAATAGAAAAATATTATTCAAAACGCGGCATGCGACATCGCGACAATGCGACAAATGTTCGAAATGCCGCGTTGTCGCATTGTCGCGCTTTGGTTAATTTTGCCTCATTTTGCTTGTATTTGAGAGGGCGACAACACGACAATGTCCCTTCCAGGATTCCATACTGAACAGAGGCACATGTCGAACAAATTGGCTCGACCAGAGAAACATCACATGCATTGTATGTGCATCTATGGTGGACAGGATTGTCCTTAGAAACTCTCTCAGGAGCCAGACTGCAGTGTAACATTGTCACCCATTGGAAGACTTCGCACACCTGATGTTTATGCCACTTACAACAATATTTCAGTTTTTACACAGCCTGTGAGCTCGATGTTGGAGGAATGCTCTTAGTGGTGATCACTATGATTATAGTTTCCTGGTGCGACTTAGACACGCAACACTGCACAGCGAATTACCCCGCCTAAAAATCAGGGCCACAGTCAATACAATGAATAGAAGCGCAAAGACTTTGTCTTGATTTGGCTAAATACACCGACATTTACAATGTATGAAATAATTCCAGTAGATATGGTGTTTACAGGACATGAACACGGACAAACTTAAAAGCTTACATAAAAAGCATAAAGATTTTAACAAAGTAGAAGGAAGTTTCTTATCTGAGTGAATGAACGTGTGTTTATGACACAGCCACAGAATGATGTATGGCTGTCGTCCGTATTATAAACGTATTCTAGCTATCACAGATAATCGTGTTTACTGATTATACACACGGTGAAGTTGGTATTGTTAACTTAAAATGATATAATTTAGTTTAGTGCTATGTTAAATGTGTCTAAAGGATAACCAGTTGCGAGTATGCCATGACTGTATTTGTGGCAAGCGTGAAAGCCCGACCAACGCGTAATATGAACATGTTCTCCACGTTAATACTATCCCCTTCTCTTAAACTTTCGTCCCGAAATTTGTATACACAAAATAACATCATCCATATTTACATTACGAGACATGGGTAACTTGGAATATCTGGAGGGCGGTGGGGTAGCCTAGTGGTTAAAGCGTCCGCTCGTCACGGCGAAGGCCAGGTTCCCCACATTGGTACAATGTGTGAAGCCCATTGCTGGTGTCCCCGCTGTGTTATTGCTGGAATATTGCTAAAAGCGGCGTAAAACCATACTCACTCACACAGACTAATCGGAAAAGCTGGCAATGTCTCAGACTGAGGTTGTAGAATTGTTAACAGAGGATTCACTGTGTTCCTCTGACTCTGACGTGGCAATCGTTTGCATGTGAGTGTAATATTCTCACGATAACAGTGAGATTTCTGACGATAGGAGTGTTATACTGTGACCCTACACTCGGCAAGGCTTGCAGATGTTGTTGTCTACTATTAACGAGGTAAGGGCTGAAAAAGAAAAGACCTAATCAATTTAAAAGTCAAAAATGAAATTAATGAAAATTAATTCAAGTGATTTTGTCTCGACGACATTGTTGCGAAGCGTATATTGTTAGCTAGGGATTCCGCCGGTATCAGAGCATAGGTCAGAGCAAACTCTCAGTGGCGAAACGAAGTAGTACGATACAGGTTGGATATACAGTCTCCACTAAATAACACTGGTGAATATGCCTAGCAATGGGTCTCTATACCCTGTGTATACTTTTGCAATAGCTGATATGACGGGGAACGATCATATACGTTTTTTTTCACAATGAGTACTGATTTAAGTTTGATGCTTACATGTTCAAAAAGGACGATATGAAAATGTGAGCATGAAATGATAGAGTTTTGGATAACTTTCTGAAAGCTATTATCTATAGTGACGGTTATAGACTTCAAAGTATGAGAAACTTCCTTGAAATGACTCGGATCCTGCAGATAGCGTTGATCTGCACTAAATGAGTAAGAACCTAACCGATTTAAAAAACCAAACTGTGTCCATTTTCTCCATGTCAATAATATACATGAATTCATTGGTTTTATCAAAAAGGACAAATATTATTATTAATATGCTATCTGTATGTTATTAGTGGTAAACGGATCCGGGGCGTGGTCGGGATTTCGGTATCGGCGATGTATAGATTGGATATCTACGCTTGACTATGGGTGCAGTTCATTATACATGCAACCAGTTCATTATGCATCCGTGTTGATGCCAGCCAGTAAAAGCTGCAGGACACGTGTCAGATGCAACCGGGCATGCAGTATAGTGACAATAATATACCTACTCGTCACGTGACTAAACAATATCACAAATATATATAAGCGTCATTGCCCCGCGAGCTATCCCTACAGTCGACCGATAGTTTCAAGATGGAGTCACTGATCGCCTTCTGCTTCCTCGTTGGTATGTACAGGTTTATATCATATTTAAACACCCAGTCTACTGACATGTAGTTCAAGCCTCTCTAGCAAATCACAACATTTATTAAATACCTGTTATCATCATTTAAATGTTTACCCTCCCGTTTATTTCTGTATTTGAGTATATAATTTTGTCACCTGTTGTAACCCACTGTGCAGTGTTACAGAGTGTCTAGTATGATCTCAGAATACGATACTCTCAGTCTTTGGAATTAGTGAGTTGGTGGGTACGGTTTTATGCAATATTTAGCAATATTCCTGCACTATTACCGCGGGGTGCCATGGGGAATCGAACCCGGGTCTTCGGCGTGAGGAGCGAACGCTTTAACCACTAGCCCCCAAGTAGGCTACCCCACCGCCCGACTTGACATGATGTGATCACAGAACTGTGTAGTTTTGTGATATTTGTGACCTATACTAAGATCGTAACTCATCTTAATCATGTAGTTAACTACAACGCCATGGTTCGATATATATCACGCTCATGTATAATTATTATTCCTTTTAAAAAGCGAAATTGAAATCTAAACATGTTTTTTTCTGCTTCCAGTATTTGCATTGATAAACCTGGGAATAAGCCCAGCTATGGCGGCCTCAGGTAAATTACTTACTTCACAGTTGTATGGAGAAGACTAGCTCATATTATATGTAAATATCTTTGACATACTGCATAATTAAATAATAAATATAAATATTAGAGGTTAAAGGATACCAATTAGGGTGAAGTTGTCACCTGAGTTCCCAGGTGTTGTTACCTGAGCTTCCAGGTGTTGTTACCTGAGATTCCAGGTGTTGTTACCTGAGATTCCAGGTGTTGTTACCTGAGATTCCAGGTGGTTAGAGAGCCTAGTGACCCACCTGTGTTGTATCAGTGAATATTTTTGGGAATACTCACAGTTGAACCCGGACGTCGTGTAAGTTCAGATGAGATCAACACAAAACTACTGAAGGCCAGTGATTGGCACAGGTGTCAAGCTGAAAGGCAAACTGTAGGTGAAGGAAAGCTACGAATATTACTGCAAGGCATATTCATCCTTGCGATAATGTTTAAATGGTGTGACAGATTGATCGATGAATTAATTTCTAACCCGATCTTATTGTAGCGAGGACACACATCTAAGTGAACACTGATGTGATCATTTATATTGAATTCATTTGTAAATGTTTGCAGGCAGGTGTGGGAGATTGACCTCTGGGTCCAGGTCACTTCACAGTCAATATCATTCTGTCAATAACATGGAGTATGTCTGAGGTCGCTCGTTTGACGAGTGGGTAATTATACAGTGGCTGATGAACTTGTCAACAAACGTCTGGTATTTGGCTGCTGTTGTGGATCCTTGTTTTCATTTTCATCGTGTGATGTATCCGACAAAAAAAATTAAAAAAGAACGAATAAAATGGCGGTGACGGTGTAATGACGATGCATGTAAATAATTACGGCGTGGAAACCCTTATAGATGTGCGCAGGCATTGTCATAGACTAACAACTAGTCTCTGAATTGAACATATTTCACTGAAAAAAAGTTCATAGTAAATTTTTTAATAATAATGAAAAAGGAGCCCTGAGACTTTCTTCGTTTTCAGAAGCTGAGGAAATCTAGACTTGCCACATTTGCTAGACTTGCGTGGGGTTTCTGACAGATTAGGCTGTTGGGAAAATAATGTGGTTCAGGGACTGTGAGACAGACTAGCATTGTCATTATTGAGTTCAATATTTGTGGATGTACTGCCATACAGAGTCTCGGTATAGTAGTGTAACGAATAATACCGAGCCTTAGTTTACTTAGACTGATTTTAGTCCATATCGTAGAGCATTATTGATGTAATAGGACGATCTTGTATTTCTGCCTTGTAAGGCCTGCCACTTCCAGATCTCACTGCAGCCTCGCCACTTGACAGCCTGTGTCCCACAGCCGAGAAAGTACACCTTTTATTTGCATAAATCTCTTGTTTAGTTATTCCCCAACTTGTGTCTGTCTTTTCAGAGCCTGAGAGCTCTGCCTCCACGCAAGGCTTCTCCGTCCTTCTGGGGTCCTTGGCGATGGTGCTGGGCTATGTCGTGGCGAAGTAATCCAGTGTCCACCATGACGTCAGCTGACCAGGATCCGCAGAAACCGGAAATACCGATTGTGGACAAACTGTTAGTCATAACATGCAATCTGCTGTTTTATCACGTGTATTCTTCGAGTCTAAAAATACTTTTCTGACAGAATTTAAAAGTTACGTTGTCAACTTGAATATCACAAATAAATCTGATATCTGAAGACTATATTGTCCACATTTTCTTCATCTCTTGTGCGCTCTTGACACTTGCACTGTTATTGAGTGAAGAATGGTGTTACGTCCTGGCAATCCAGGCTTTGAATGAGTGAGTGAGTGGGTGAGTGGGTGAAATGGTGGGTGAGTGAGTGAGTTAGTGGGTGAGTGGGTGAGTGGGTGAAGGGGTGGGTGAGTGAGTGAGTGAGTGAGTGAAGGGGTGGGTGAGTGAGTGAGTTAGATTAATGTAGGGCGTCATCCGAACTTACAGTTTTGCCACTAAATACCCACACGTATGATGGTGCCTAACTAGGAACAATGTACTGGACCTGGCGATAGCAGTGTGAGCATGGAATATAACATGACGTCCATTCAGCTGAAAGTTTAGTCCACACTGGACGTCTATACCAGTGACCAGTATAAGGATATACTGCTGATACCCACTGAGGTGGCTCTTTAGACAGAGTTCAACACTAGATTGATAACGGTGTTAGCACCAACACCGAAACATCGCACTTATTGCAATAAAAAAAGTTGACTATCCATAGAATTTGGTTTCCTTTACTCTTGAACAGGGCAGTAAAGAAACATTGCAGCGCGGTGTCGGGCATCACTGAACTACTGAAATATAACTGAGCTACTGAGTTTATATTTCTCAAATAACTGGTGGTGTGAATTATGTCTCGAAAGAGAAACGTATGGAATACTGTAAAGGGACATTCTCGCGATCTCGCATTCTCGCACTTTTGGCATTTTTTAGCTTGTTTCCAAAGGACGAGATCGCGAGAATGCGAGATCGCGAGAATGTCCCTTACAGTATTCCATAGAAACGTCCTCTTCAAGCAGAACTAGAAATATTAATTAGAAAACGCACAACAGAGTTTAAAGCCTAAACCGGGCCTTACCTCCTTACACGTAATGGAGGGTAAGGATGGCGAGAAGGCCACGCCAGGAACCTGTACCAAACAGGAATAGCCCTTTCCAAAAATATCATAATGTCTGTTTAGTCTCTCTCTCTCACACAAGCGATGTCCTTGCCGTCCTTCACCAAACACTCGCATCAGCCTTACGATGATTGGACGAGTGGTTCTTGAATACATTCATAATACAACAAAGGCTTTTATCTCATTTACGCGGTTTATAAACTGTCAAACAGACCCACAGTACAATACGACTATATTCGATATTCGTCGGTGCGAGACACAAACTAGTTGAATTTCCATATACATATACACCTAGATGTGTTTACTTACAGTACATATGTCCTGTCGAACAATAAATGAACTTAATGGCGGTGCGTGGTCCTGTGCATGGAGCTGAGGTCACAAATAAGTTGCAGTTAGTAACGCTGGGCACGGAGAGTCCTTGGATGGGTGACCGTGACACCTGAGAGTTTCTAGGACTTCAGTCTTGCCCCACAACGAAGCACATGTGATCCATGTGGCCTCACCTTAGGCAAGTGAGTTTATTCAAAATTGTCTCTGTTCAACCAGCTGAAAATGGGTACCCGGTGGGATAGTCTAACAGGCAGCTCGGGTTGTCTGGGGTAAGAATGCGTTAGCGCTTTGAGCGTGCACAAGTGTGTGGAAACACGCGCTATATAAATGGCCTTTTATTTTTATTAATATAAAACAAGAATAGTTAAGGTTGGAATACGTCCCGTTGTATAAACCAGCCATTAGTTCATGAGAGAACATTGTCCCGGTTGTTTTGTTCATCCAAACTCTTTAGTTAATTAAAGAGACAACAGCTGAAAAAACGTGGCGGAACAAATAAATGTTTCATCAGGAACATGTCAAGATGCCGATCACGGCAACTCGTTATTAGTCGGATAATTTTATAAATGTATTTACATAGCTGTACTTCAGACCTATTACATCCCACTTAGTACATACTGCTACCATTTCATGTCTCAAGTCAGTCAATGAGGTCAAATTTGGTGTTGATCACCAGTCCGAGTCAAATAATCTGGTCATATCACTGTAACTTCAACCTATCCCACCAACCACTGTACAGCTTCAGTCCATCTGACCGACCACTGTACTGCTTCAGTCCATCTGACCGACCACTGTACTGCTTCAGTCCATCTGACCAACCACTGTACTGCTTCAGTCTATCTGACCGACCACTGTACTGCTTCAGTTCACCCGACCGACCACTGTACTGCCTCAGTTCACCCGACCGACCACTGTACTGCTTCAGTCCATCTGACCGACCACTGTACTGCTTCAGTCCATCCGACCGACCACTGTACTGCTTCAGTCCATCCGACCGACCACTGTACTGCTTCAGTCCATCCGACCGACCACTGTACTGCTTCAGTCCATCCGACCGACCACTGTACTGCTTCAGTCCATCTGACCGACCACTGTACTGCTTCAGTCCATCCGACCGACCACTGTACTGCTTCAGTCCATCCGACCGACCACTGTACTGCTTCAGTCCATCCGACCGACCACTGTACTGCTTCAGTCCATCCGACCGACCACTGTACTGCTTCAGTCCATCCGACCGACCACTGTACTGCCTCAGTCCATCCGACCGACCACTATACTGCTTCAGTCCATCCAACCGACCACTATACTGCCTCAGTTCACCCGACCGACCACTGTACTGCTTCAGTCCATCCGACCGACCACTGTACTGCTTCCGTTCACCCGACCGACCACTATACTGCTTCAGTCCATCCGACCGACCACTATACTGCTTCAGTCTATCCGACCGACCACTGTACTGCTTCAGTCCATCCGACCGACCACTGTACTGCTTTCAGTCCATCCGACCGACCACTGTACTGCTTCAGTCCATCCGACCGACCACTGTACTGTTTCAGTCCATCCGACCGACCACTATACTGCTTCAGTCCATCCGACCGACCACTATACTGCTTCAGTCCATCCGACCGACCACTATACTGCTTCAGTCCATCCGACCGACCACTATACTGCTTCAGTCCATCCGACCGACCACTGTACTGCTTCCAGTCCATCCGACCGACCACTGTACTGCTTCAGTCCATCCGACCGACCACTGTACTGCTTCAGTCCATCCGACCGACCACTGTACTTACCTGTTTCAGTCCATCCGACCGACCACTGTACTGCTTCAGTCCATCCGACCGACCACTGTACTGTTTCAGTCCATCCGACCGACCACTATACTGCTTCAGTCCATCCGACCGACCACTATACTGCTTCAGTCCATCCGACCGACCACTATACTGCTTCCAGTCCATCCGACCGATCACTATACTGCTTCCAGTCCATCCGACCGACCACTATTCTGCTTCAGTCTATCCGACCGACCACTGTACTGCTTCAGTCCACCCGACCGACCACTATACTGCTTCAGTCCATCCGACCGACCACTATACTGCTTCAGTCCATCCGACCGACCACTGTACTGCTTCAGTCCATCCGACCGACCACTATACTGCTTCAGTCCATCCGACCGACCACTATTCTGCTTCAGTCTATCCGACCGACCACTGTACTGCTTCAGTCCACCCGACCGACCACTATACTGCTTCAGTCCATCCGACCGACCACTATACTGCTTCAGTCCATCCGACCGACCACTGTACTGCTTCAGTCCATCCGACCGACCACTATACTGCTTCAGCTCATCCGACCGACCACTATACTGCTTCAGTCTATCCGACCGACCACTGTACTGCTTCAGTCCATCCGACCGACCACTGTAGTCTCTCAGCTCATCGGACCGACCACTGTACTGCTTCAGTCCATCTTACCGACCACTGCACTGCTTCAGTCCATCTGACCGACCACTGTACTGCTTCAGTCCATCCGACCGACCACTATACTGCTTCAGCTCATCCGACCGACCACTATACTGCTTCAGTCCATCTGACCGACCACTGTACTGCTTCAGTCCATCCGACCGACCACTGTAGTCTCTCAGCTCATCTGACCGACCACTGTACTGCTTCAGTCCATCTTACCGACCACTGCACTGCTTCAGTCCATCTGACCGACCACTGTACTGCTTCAGTCCATCCGACCGACCACTGACCATAGTCTCTCAGCTCATCGGACTGACCAACTCCATACAGTTAGTCTCAGACCTTGCTAGCAATTCCTATTATGCTGATATCATCCATTCGCCATAGACAAATTGTATTTTTATAGATTAAAATCTTGAATAGGAGAGAAATAACCCTCCCAGATTGTATCCGCCTGTTTTTCTTTTGCATGATTACGGCTGTAACTCCCGCTCAGGATAGGTCGCTGCCAACCTACGCGAGTAAGAGGATTGGATGGTCATGTACACAGACGCTGTGGATTGGCTGGGACAGAATGAGTTTATATAGTGTCTGTGTTACTTTTGTAGTTTGTACGGGGCGGTGAGGTAGCCTAGTGGTTAAAGCGTTGGCCCGTCACGCCGAAGACCAGGTTTGAATCCCCACATGGGTACAATGTGTGAAGCCCATTTCTTGTGTCCCCGCCGTGATGTTGCTGGAATATTGCTAAAAGCGGCTTAAAACTATACTCAGTCAGTCAGTCAGTCAGTTAGTAAAATAGGATGTAACATGGGAGAACCACGTATTTAGTTTCATCGCTCTTTGAGAAAGTAACTTCTGCGCCTCGAGTGGGTTTATAAAATGCGCCTTTGTTGTGTATTGAAAGCTTTCGTCAAATCGTGCTTTGAATGCCATCCTGTACAGTGTTTTCCCATCGATATGGCTATGGAGGTACATGTCTAGCGACAGCTGTTTCTATATTTATCTCAAACTGACAATACTTTGAACATTACCCTTTGATCCTGGACAAGTTACATAAATAATTGAGACGTGCAACGTGTACGGACATTGTAAAGCATGCTGTGTATGTCAATCCACATTTTATACCGTATATACTCGTCTATTACTATGGTGAAACTAACGGGAACGTACTGACTGACTGACTGACTGACTGAATTTGGTTTACGCTGCTTTTAGCAATATTCCAGCAACATCATGGTGGGGACACCAGAAATGGGCTTCACAAAT